TCTCAAAATAAATAAATAAATAAATAAATAAATAAATAAATAAATAAATAAATAAATGCTACCATTTATTGAGCACTTATTAAATTCCAGGTATTGTTTAAGAGTTCCACATATATTACCTCACTTAACCCTTCCAACAACTCTGAAAGTGGGTACTATTATTATCTCTATTTTACAGATAAGAAAAGGGAGGCTCAGAGAGATTAAGTAAATGGTGGGGCCGGGATTTGAACACAGGTACCTCCATCTTCTCTGCTCCATTTCTACTGCCACAATTCTAACCCAAGCACCCATCATCTCTTGCCTGAACTATTGTCCTAGCTTTCTAACTGGGAGCTGCTTCCTACCTCATCCCTTTCCAATCTGTTCTCCATGATGCATCTAGAGTGATTGTTCCAAAATACAAATCTGATTGCTATTTTCCTGAATAAAATGCTTCCATATCTTCCCAGTGCCATTAGAAATAAGACCAAAATTCCTTAGCATAGTTTACAAAGTTCTGAATTATTTAGTGCTCAGTTTCCTCCCTTTCCAAACTCACTTCCTTCTATTCTCCTCATCCTTCCCACTCCAGCCACATAGGTCCTTTTTCAGTTCTTTGGACTGGTCATGCATGTTCCCTCTGCCTGGAACATTCTTCCCACCTCCTGCCTTTCCTCTCCCAAACACCTAATTAATTCCTTCTTATCCTTCAGATCTTAGTTTCCATTAAATGTTATCTAAGAATCTTCCCTGATCTGCTGCTCATGGTGGCTCACATCTGTAATCCCAGCATTTTGGGAGGCTGAGGCAGGTGGATCACCTGAGGTCAGGAGTTCCAGATTAGCCTGGCAAACACGATGAAACCCTGTAGCCAGGCGTGGTGGCAGGTGCCTGTAATCTCAGCTACTTGGGAGGCTGAGGCATGAGAATTGCTTGAACCAGGGAGGTGGAGGCTACAGTGAGCCGAGATCATGCCACTACCCTCCAGCCTGGGTGAAAGAGCAAGACTCTGTCTCAAACAAACAAACAAACAAAATCTTCCCTGATCCTCAAAACTGGGTCATGTTCCCCTCATCCCCCTATCCCCCTATTTTAACTCCTATAGCACTTTGTACTTCTTCGTGGGGCTGTGTGATTATCTGATCGATCATGTCTGTCTTCCACTAGACCACAAGCACTATGAAGGCAAGGCATGGACTGTCTTCCTTACCATTTTATTCTTAGTGACTAGTACAGTTCCTGGAACACGGTGCTCAGGAAGCACTTGGTAAATGAATAATCTGAAGGGAAAAGCCCAGAAAAGTACATAATTTGCCTAAAATTTTATTTAATTAAATGGTATCAAACAGGAATAACGCGGGATTAGACACTACACTGACTTCCATGTAGTAGTATATAGTATATAAAAATCCTTCAAAGGGCTGCTCGGGTAAAAGATAATAAGGATGTTAACTTAGAAAAAGTAATGCCATTCACATTTTTATTACGTTTTTTTAGCCACATAACGAGAGCATATTCTATATTCATTACTTTTTTTTCTTTTGAGATTCAAATGTCATTCCTCTTTAATATTATCTTAGGAATATTAGCCCCCTTGTCCATGCTTCATGCAAAGCCTCAGTAATCAAGGACTAATTTACAATAGATAATAGTAGGTGATTGCTCATTTGACTAAGAATGATTTCATATAAACCCAATCTCAAAGGGGCTCATTTACAAGAAGGAGGAACAAGCACTTAGAAAACAGAGTTCAAGGCTGGGCACGGTGGCTCATGCCTATAATCCTAGCACTTTGGGAGGCTGAGGCGGGTGGATCACTTGAGATCAGGAGTTCAAGACCATCCTAGCCAACATGGTGAAACTCCTTCTCTACTAAAAATACAAAATTAGCCGGGTGTGGTGGCACATGCCTCTAATCCCAGCTACTCGGGAGGCTGAGGCAGGAGAACTGCTTGAACCTGGAAGGCGGAGGTTGCAGTGAGCTGAGATTGCACCATTGCACTCTAGCCTAGGCAACAAGAGTGAGACTCTGTCTCAAAAAAAAAAAAAAAAAAAAATTAGCTGGCCGTGGTGGCAGGCGCCTGTAATCCCATTGACTCGGGAGGCTGAGGCAGGAGACTCGCTTGAACCTGGGAGGCGGAGGTTGCAGTGAGCCAAGATCGCGCCATTGCACTCCAGCCTGGGCAACAAGAGTGAGACTCTGTCTCAAAAAGAAAAAAAAAAAATTAGCTGGCCGTGGTGGCAGGCGCCTGTAATCCCATTGACTCGGGAGGCTGAGGCAGGAGAATCGCTTGAAGCCGGGAGGTGGAGGTTGCAGTGAGCTGAGATCGCACCATTGTACTCCAGCCTGGGCAATAGGAGTGAAACTCCGCCTCAAAAACAAACAAACAAACAGAGTTCAAGTATTAATGCTATGCAATATTTTCACAAGGTTAAAAGTTGGCTTATAAAATACAAATATAGAAAGATATTACTTTCATTCAATTTTACTACCTTAGCCACCTTATCATATTTATGCAGCACCCAAATCATTTATGATTTCTAAAAATTTTAAAATACCGTATTAGGTATTGTAAGTAATATTTATGATTTTAAGCACTGCATTGCTTGTGTCTTGTCATAAGGACATTATAAGGAAATAAAAATTCTTCTCTAAGTAATAGTCTTATATTGAAAACAAAAGCTATCTCTGAATCTGAATGAAGGTTATTTATTGCCCGTATACTACATTATTCTATTACCATTTCTGTGGGTTTGAAACTCCTCAAATTTAAAAATTATTAGAAAATAAATTAGTTGAGACTACTTAAATAAACACAAGCTACTTTAATCAAACCACATGAACTATTACATACTGACTGGGTTTATTAAAGATAATACTAAAAACCTATTGCAAATAATTACGTGAATATTTGCCACGGTAATAATAAACTCACCTGAAACTCTTTATTCTGTTCAGACAGGAAAAGGTCGTCCTGTAGGATTTGAACCACATGGTTCTGTATTCATTGAAAACCCCTGGTTTAATCTGTAGTATCCAACTGAGCTGGTTCTTCACATAAACTGAAAAAAAAAAAAAATTAAATATCTAGAGAAAAGCATTGCACAGCAAGAATCCCTCATATGCATGTAATTGAAGATTTTATTTTATTTTATTATTTATTTTGTTTTAGAGTCTTGCTCTGCCGCCCAGGTTGGAGTGTAATGGCACAATCACGGCTTACTGCAGCCTCCACCTCCTGGGCTCAAGTAATCCTCCCACCTCAGCTTCCCAAGCAGTGGGGATTACAGGCACATGCCACCATGCCCAGCTAACTTTTGTTGTTATTGTCATTGTTGAGATGGGGTCTCCCTACGTTGCTCAGGCTGGTCTGAAACTCCTGGGCTCAAGGGATACTCCTGCCTCAGCCTCCCAAAGTGCTGGGATTCACCGGGCCTGGACAAAGTTTTATTTTATATGGTAATGCTATGTTACATTACAATTGATAAACAAAGGGTTTTTGTTTGTTTTTTACTTAAGATTTTACCTAAAAAGTAAAATAAAAGTTTTACATTCCAGTATCTAACTCTAACCCAGACATTTCTAAAATTATTAGCCAAAACAAGTAATGCATATGTTTATAAAGTTTTTCATGCCATTAGTTTTTACATCTACATTATGTACATAAAATGAGAGGAATGATATTCAAATATAAAATGTTATGTTTTAAACTAGGATAATATTAATTCTGAAATTGTCAAAATTAGTTCAAATTCTGTCAATTCCATATTAGCTACATGAAATGAATTTTTACATATTTACATTTTTACATTAGCTACATGAAATGAATTTTTACAAATGAATTTTACATATTTTACATTTTTACAACACCCTTTACAGAGGAAAAAAAAGTATGTGTATATATAACCTAAAATAAACATTCACCCATTCTATATGCTCAACTTACACAGGGGCCTACTTTATGAGCCTGTAGCTGTGTTGCAGAACACTCAGTTGTTCAATAAACATTCAGACAAAGTAGACTTTAGAGCAAAGTAAGTATCAGAAACAAAGAGGGGCATTACATCACAATAAAAGGGATAATCCACCAAGAAGAAAAAGCAATACTGTATGCACCAGCAAGGCACAGTGGCTCATGCTTGTAATCCCAGCGCTTTGGGAGGCTGAGGCAAGCAGATCATCTGATGTCATGAGTTCAAGACCAGCTGGTCAACATGGTGAAACACCATGTCTACCAAAAAATACAAAAATTAGCCAGGCGTGGTGGCATGTGCCTGTATCCCAGCTACCCGGGAGGCTGAGGCAGGAGAATCTCAGGAACCAGGGAGGCAGAGGCTGCAGTGAGCTGAGATCGAGCCACTGTACTCCAGCCTGGGCAATGGAGCAAGACTCTGTCTTGAAAAAACTATGTACACCACAAACAACAGAATTTCAAAACACATAAAGACTCATAGAAATGAAATGAGAAATAAACAAATCCACAATTGTAAGTTGGAGACTTCAACACTCCTGTCTCAGTAATTGATAGAACCACTGGATAGAAAACCAGCAGGGATAAAGAAGAACTGAACAAGACCATTATTCAATACAATCTACTTAAAATGTGTAAAACACTTCCCCCAAACAACAAAATACACATTCTTTCAAGCATGCATGGAACATTCATAAAGATAGACCATGTCCTGAGACACAAAACAAATCTTCACAACTTTAAGTGAAATCACACAAACTATATTTTTGACTGTAATAGGATCAAATAAATAACAGAAAAATAACAGTAAAAAGCAAAACACTTGGGAATTAAACAACATACTTCTAAACAATCCATAAGTCAAAGACAAGTCTCAGGGATATTTTAAAACTTGAAGTAAATGAAAATAAATATACTACATATAAAAATTGGTGGATATAACTAAAGGAGTACTGAGAGGGCAATTTATATCACTAAAATAGTCGTATTGAAAAGGAAGAAAGGGCCAGGCATGGTGGCTCACACCTGTAATCCCAGCACTTTGGGCACTTTGGTAGGCCACGGCAAGCAGATCACATGAGGCCAGGAGTTCAAGACCAGTCTGGCCAACATAGTAAAACCCTGTCTCTACTAAAAATACAAAAATTAGCCGGGGATGGTGGTACACACCTGTAGTCCCAGCTACCTGGGAGGCTGAGACAGAAGAATCGCTTGAACCTGGGAGATGGAGGTTGCAGTGAGCCAAGATTGCGTCACTGCACTCCAACCTGGGTAATGGAGTAAGACTCTGTCTCAAAAAAAAAAAAAAAAAGAAAAGAAAAGAAAAAAGAAAAGTAAGAAAGGCCTCAAATCAACAATCTAAGTTTCCACCTCAAGAACTAGAAAAAGGAGAGCAAAATAAACATAAAGCAAGAAAGTGGAATCAGAAAATGATAAAAATAGAAATCAGCCAGATGAGGGGGCTCATATCTATAAACCCAGAGCTTTGGGAGGCCATGGCAAGTGGATCACTTGAGGTCAGGAGTTCGAGACCAGGTTGGTCAACATGATGAAAGCCTATCTCTGCTAAAAATACAAAAATTAGCCAGACATGGTGGCACATGCCTGTAATCCCAGTGACTCTGGAGACTGAGGCACAAGAATCTCTTGAACCCGGCAGGCAGAGGTTGCAGTGAGCCGAGATGGTGCCTCTGCACTCCAGCCCGGGTGACAGAGTGAGACTCTGCGCCAAAAAATAAATAAATAATAAATAAATAAATAAATAAATAAATAAAAATGAAAATCAATGACATTGAAAACAAAACAAAGCCATAGAAAATACATCAAATCTGAAATTAATTCACTGCAAAAATCAATAAAATTGATAAGCCTCCAGCAAAGCTGACAAAGAAAAGATGTAAATCACCAACATCAAGAAATAAAGAAAGGATATTACTATAGACCTCACAGACATTAAAAGGTTGACAAGAGAATACTACAAATAACACCACACTCAGAAGTTCTACAATTTAGACAAAATGGACTAATTCTATAAAAACCACAAACTACCAAAATTCATATAGGATAAAATAGAGAGCCTGAATAACTGATAACTACTAAAGAAATTGGATTCATAGTTAGAAACCTGAAAAACAAATCTCCAGTCTTGGATGGCTTCGCTGGTGAATTCTACTAAACACTTAAAGAGATAACAACCAATTCTACTTAATCTCTTAAAAAAATAGAAGGGTAAGGAATACTTCCCAGGCCATTTTATGAAGTCAACATTATTCTGATACAAAAATCAAAGAGTACAGCAAAGACTACAGACCAATTCGTCTCAGGAACAGACATAAAAATCCTTAGCAAATATTAGCACAATATAATTCAGCAACATATAAATAGAACAATACAGCACAACCACGTGAGATTTATTCCAGGTATGCAACACACAATATAATTCAGCAACATATAAATAGAACAATACAGCACAACCACGTGAGATTTATTCCAGGTATGCTACACTAGTTCAACATTTAAAAAATCAGTTAATATAATCGACCATATTAACAAAAAAAAAAAAAGAGTAACACACCAGGCGGGGCGGCTCACACCTGTAGTTCCAGCACTTTGGGAGGCTGAAGAGTCAAGATTGTTTGAGCCCAGGAGTTCGAGACAAGTCTGGGCAACATAGTGAGACCCTATCTCTACAGAAAAACTTTAAAAATTAGCCAGGTATAGTGGTGTGCATCCATGGTCCTTGCTACTGAGGAGATTGAGATTGAGATGGGAAGACTGTTTGAGCCTGGGAGGCAGAGGCTGCAGTGAGCCATGATTGTACCACTGCACTCCAGCCTGGGAGACAGAGCAATACTGTCTCAAAAAACAAACAAGTGAAAACCAAAAACCAAAACAAAACAAATACCAAACATAATCATGTTGATTGATACAAAGTATTTAACAAAATCCATATCCATTACGATTAAAAACTTTTGGCAAACTAAGAATGAAAGGGAAATTATTTTACAAAACAGCTATAAAAACCTATAGCTCACGTAGTACTTAACAGTGAAAGACTCAGCCCTTTCCCCCTAAAATCAGAAACAAGGTAAACACATCCATTCTCACTACTCTTATTCAACATAGTACTGAAAGTCTTATTCAGTGCAATTAGGCAAGAAAAGGAAATAAAAGGTATACAGAATGTTAAGGAAGAAATTAAACTGTCCCTATTGTCTATATAGAAAATCCTAAGAAATCTTTAAAAGGCTCCTGGAACTAATAAGTGAATTCAGAAAGGTCAAAGATTAAAGGCCAGGCGTGGTGGCTCACACCTGTAATCCCAGCACTTTGGGAGGCTGAGCTGGGCGGATCACCTGAGGTCGGGAGTTCGAGACCAGCCAGACCAACATGGAGAAACCCTGTCTCTACTAAAAATACCAAATGAGCCGGGCATAGTGGTGCATGCCTGTAATCCCAGCTACTCGGGAGGCTGAGGCAGGACAATTGCTTGAACCCAGGAGGCGGAGGTTGTGGTGAGTAGAGGTCGCGCCATTGCACTCCAGCCTGGGCAAGAAGAGCAAAACTCTGTCTCAAAAAAAAAAAGAAAGGTCAAAGATTACAAAGGTAACACAAAAAAGTCAGTCTTGTTTCTATATATTAACAGTGAACAAGTGGAAGGCAAAATTCAAAATGTAAAATGCCTTATCATTTTAAATCATTCCAAAAAAATTTTCATTGTTGCATAAATCAAACAAAAACATGTACAGAATCTATATGCTTAAAATTATACAACACTGATGAAATAAATCAAAGAATAAACGTGAGACATATTGGAAAATTCAACATAGTAAAAACATCAGTTTTCCCCAAACTGACCTATACATTTAATACAATTCCTATCAAAATCTCAATAGCCTTTTTTTTTTTTTCGGTAGACACAGACATACTGACTTTAAAATTGATATAGAAAGGCAAAATAGGCCAGGCGTGGTGGCTCATGCCTGTAATCCCAGCACTTTGGGAGGTTGAGGCAGGTGGATCACTTGAGGTTAGGAGGTTGAGACTAGTCTGGCCAACATGGTGAAACCCCGTCTCTACTAAAAATAAAAA